CAATAAGAACCTGGAGCTGGTGTATCTTTGTACTTTTGAGGCCAGTCTAATCTGTAGCAAATTGTTGTTCAAAACCATACAATCCATTCTCTATTGATTACCCACATTAACATTAATACTGTCTATATACATGGTGAACACGTACATACAGCTTTACAAAATACATCTTTGGTATTTAAATTCATTTAAATATAAATCTTAAAAAGAGATTTTACACCTCCATTAGAGAAATCAGATAAAAAGAATAACACAAAGATCAAGGGAATATGTTAACTATAATGCCCACTCATTATAAAGAATTGAAAGCAAAACAGCGAAATGTTTCCCATACCATTGTACACTCAAGAGGCATTGTTTGACAGTTTTATCAAATTCAGTTAATTTCATAAGAAAATATGGTAACTCATAGGCTCACACGTCTGTTGAAATTTTCACATTGATCGATGATTTAAAAATGAATATATGAATAGTTTTCTTATTTGGTTAAAGCCTCTGCTATTGTCTTTATCTTTAGAGTAATCACTTTAAAACCAGAAATAGAAAACACACTCTTTGAAAGGTGCTGATGTATCACTTTATTTATGTAAGATACATTCTGATGAACTTTTAAAGCTTTTTACAACCTTTCAGCTACTTATATTATTCTAATCTAACAGCATAGGTCATTCGTATCAGTATTGGCAGTGGTTGAGAATATGGTACAGCTCATAATAATCCATCTGTTGACTACTCAGGATCATGTGTAGATGTCTGTCCATATTAATCACCACACCCTTTTACAGAACAACAACTAAAAACTTCCAGTTTTTACTGGCCTTAGCTTTTTCCATGGATGAAGTCAACAGGAACCCTGATCTTCTACCAAATTCATCATTCATATTTGAATGTGTAGAGCATGGCTGTGACACTGGGCCACAAATATATAGTCACTTTCAGTTTTCTGAAGTAGTTCATGATTATCCCCCTAATTATATGTGTCATGAAGAGACTATGTGTATCGTGGTCCTTACAGGACCAAATTTTGCGACATCTGTGATCATTGGGAACACGCTCAATCTCTTCAAACCTCAACAGGTGAGATTTTCTGTTATAACTTTGCAAGAAATTCTAATTCTACCCTTATAATCCTAGAAGCTAAGAAGATTCTGATGAGGATACTTTCATCAAATTTGCGTCAAACGGTGTAGTTCAAGGTTTTATTCATTAGTAATGGGGCCTCAGTTCTCTTTTTGAAATTGAGATGAGGGAAGAAGTAACAGATAAGGAGTTTTTTAAGGAACTCTTGACCTAAAGTGTGTTTACAAGTTCTTATGTACGTGTGCTACCTCATGCTGCTTTCTGTATTGTAGTTCCTTCAGATTACCTATGGACCTGTCCATCCCATCCTGAGCAATCGTGAACATTTTCCCTCTCTGTATCAGATGGCTGCCAAGTACACATCTTTAGCCCTGGCCCTGATCTCTCTGATGCTTCACTTCAACTGGAACTGGATTGGACTGGCCATCTCAGACAATGATCAGGGTACTCAATTTCTCACACAATTAAGAGGAGAGATGGAAAAAATTACAGTCTGCTTTGCCTTTGTGAGTGTGATCCCAGTCAAGATGCATTTATTCTTGACAAGAGTTGAAGGTTATTATAACCAAATCATGACATCATCCACAAATGTAGTTGTCATTTATGGTGACCCGAAGGGTTCTCTAGCTGTGGCCTTTAGAAGGTGGCAATCTCTAGGTTTACAGAGAATATGGGTCACCACCTCACAGTGGGATGGCACTACAACTAAGAATGACTTCCAACTTAATTCATTCAATGGGAAAATAACTTTTGCATACCATCATGCTGAGATTTCTCATTTTAAAACATTTGTCCAGACATTGAACCCTCTCAAATACACAGACGAATTCCTGGCCAGGCTGGAGTGGATGAACTTGAACTGCAAAGCCTCAGCTTCTAGGTGTAAGACCCTGAAGAATTGCTTATCCAATGCCTCATTGCAATGGCTAAAGGCACAGACTTTTGACATGGCCTTTAGTGATGAGAGTTATGAAATATATAATGCGGTGTATGCTGTGGCCCATGCCTTCCATGCAATGCTTCTTCAGCATGTTTACAATCAA